ACCATAATGTTATATTTGGAGCCCATTTATTGCCCCACCCACTTATATTTTGTTTAATATTGATCATGCAATTTACCTTTTATATCCTGAATCTGATCTTTAAATAAGTTCTTTAGCACTCACCTTTCCATTACATTTTCATGTTACGCAGATTGCTGCACTTCCAATTGTTCTTAGGTTTTCCATTTTATAGACATACTGTAGGTCATTGCCCTTTACCCTACAACTATGGTGTTGAAAACAGTGCTCTAAGTTTGACGTTTCCCATGTGCTGTGGTAGCTACCTATATTAGGACTACTGCTGTAGTCCTAAAAAGGGCCTCTAGATGTCACCGTCCACCCAGCACTAGATGTTTAAAAATCTATCTGGCTTCAGCTAAGGGCCTCAAGCTAATGGTGCTTGCTAAAAGAAGGCATCTGAAATGCTAATGAAAAAAAGGGGCGCATGTAAGAAATGAGCTAAGTTTCATGCTGATCTTTAGTCACTTTATGACTGCCATGGAGAACATGGGTTGTGTGTTCTGTGAAAGTGGAGCATTTATTTCCTTTGATAGCTATCAGTTCAGATTTCTTTCTAGGTTTATATTACAGTACAGGGAAGTGATAGGGAAGACAAAGAAGTACATACAAAAATTGACGATATATTCCTGCCACCTTTAATCATTGTGCTGAAAGAAATGATTTGATCAGGGCATCATATCAAGGAGAGAAGGAAAAAATAAAATGTATTTCATAAAATTCCTTCTCCTAGACAGCTGTAACTCTCTTTCTGTAGCTGGCTGATTCTTCCATGTAAACAATAATACGGGATTACTTTCTAATTTCAGCTAGGGGGGTCTCGCTATTTCATGTAACAAATTTTGTAAATATATGCCATAAATAAATTTTCCAGTATAAAAAAATGCTGAATGTTTTTACTAAATAAGCCCAAGTTCTAGTATTATAAGAAGGAAAAAATATTCATTATTTGTACAAAAAACATTGATATGTAACATACATGGATTCAGGCTTTATTTCTCATTTTCCTCTAATACAGGTAAAGCAGTCAATGTTCTAGAGCAAAGGTCTTCAAACTTGGCAACTTTAAGACCTGTGGACTTCAAGTCCCAGAATTCCACAGCCAGCCACACTGCCTGAGCAATTCTGGGAATTGAAGTCCACAAGTCTTAAAGTTGCCAAGTTTGGAGACCCTTGTTCTAGAGGGATAATAGAGGGGAAGAAGGCTAAATTGAGGCTCAGTCCAGACAAGGCAGAGATATTGCCTATGTGTGGCTCATCAGTCCAACTCAGTAGTGTCCATTCTATTCTGGAAGGGGGTACATACAGGATGCTAACAAAAAATTAGCACTAGAAAATTAAGAGGGCTTGTTGAATGCTTAAGCTGACCTTACCTTGACAGAGGTATCTTATAACCATTATTCATGCTCTGATAAAGAAATTTAGAACTCATCTTGGAAAAATCTGAGGGGGTGGAGAGGGAATGGGGGAAGGTATAAGATGTTAACGTACGCTTGAACAAGTCCAGAGGTAGAAGGAAGCCTGCGAGACAAACTAATCCCATCGTGATTTTTGTGGTTGTTAGCACAAGATGGAATATAAAGAAAATGAAAAAGTTTTTTCAAGATTGATGTCTGCACTTCGAAGTAGACCAGATCACAGGAATTCCAGAAATACTGCCTTGTTGTTGTAGATTATGAGAGAATCTTGAAACCTGTTCAATTTTTTTCTCTGTCACATTTTTATAGTAAACAAAAGCAAGGCATATTTAGAGTTTGTTTCTCATGTTTCCTTCAGTCCCTCCTTAACAGCTGACTCCCTATTGCACCACTCCCATGGTTCTCACTCCATCCCCAAGGTCAGCCCCATGTTCCTTTACTGATAACCTCCCATCTGGATTGTTGTTGTTGTTGTTGTTAATTGCGAAGTCATGTCCGACCCATCACGACCACATGGACAACATTCCTCCAGGTCTTCCTGTCCTCTACCATCTTCTGGAGTCCATTTAAGTTCACACCTACTGCTTCAGTGACTCCATCCAGCCACCTCATTCTCTGTCGTCCCCTTCTTCTATTGCCCTCAATCTTTCCCAGCATTAGGCCCTTCTCCAGTGAGTCCTTCCTTCTCATTAGGTGGCCAAAGTATTTGAGTAATCCCATCTGGATTACTGTAATGAATTAGAGAAATAGTTCCTTTGGAAAATTTAGATAGTTCACAATAGACCATTGGGTTTCACCAATCCAAGAATATTCGGCCAACAGCCTACCAGACCAGTTTCAGGCCTAATTTAAAATATGGGTACAGTCTATGACACACAAATGACTTGGGAACAGGTCACTCAAAGGAACCTCTCTTCAGGTATTATCCTACTTTGACTCTGAAATGTTCAGCAGAGGCAATCATTCAATTTCCTCTTGAATGGTTACCAAAAAAAAGGGGGGGTGTCTTTTTGGTGATGGCAGCACCAGGAACCTTAGAAGTAATTGACTGCTGCTATTAATGATGATTTCATATTGAATGTGCTATGCTATTCTCTGTGTTAGTGTTTGTATTATTTAAATCATTTCCCTCCATGATTTATATAGTTTTTATATTTTAACTGAACTAAAATAGAACTTCTATCATTTTACAATAAAGTAAAAGTAAATACTACAATGAAGTAAAAGCAAATACAATAAAAATAAAATTGAGAAAGATTAATCAAACAAGTCAAATACGTTAGTGAGACTCTTTATTTATATGTGCCATAGGCACTCTTTTACCTATACAAATGGCCACATTGGCCTTACTTTTAACCAACATTACTCAAAATAATTCTGCCCTTCATTATGATCTCAGTTCAGGAAAGAGTAGCCTCACTTCTTGGCCTCTTTCCTTTTTTTTTTTTTTTTTGAACCAACGTAGTTAGGATTCAACAATTTTGGAAACGAGAATACATTGACTTTGGGATAAGGGAACTAGAAGAATGACTGGGGAAAATAATAAAAGGAATACCTCAAAGTTGGAGAACGAAATCTCATTTTCTTAATTATGGAAGCAGCTATTTCTAATGGAAAGGTGCTACTCTTCAGCAGAGAGATCTATGGATGCTACGTATATCTATATAGGAAGTGTAGAGCAGTGAAGGTGCTAATGCAGTTGCAGAAAACAAAAGAGAAAGGAAAGGCACATATTATATTATTCTGCTCCCAAGTTTAGATATGGCCATAAGTCTCTAGATGGAAAAAACCACAGGATGGAAAGAGCCGTTGAAAGTCAGATATGACAATTCTTCATCCTGCCAAACATCTTCCATTCTTTACCTACATTAGAGACTCTATGATACAAAAGATCTCAAGAATTTAATCAGGTTGTTTCAGCAAGTCCCCCCTGCTTCAGAAAACTTGAGGGAGAGTTTTCTGGTCATCTAGGACAGTCACTTAGGTGAGCATTGATTCCCTGAGTGAAAAGCAGGACCTGAGAAGAACCTATCCCAAAGTTTTGGGTGAAGCATTGTCAAGCAAGTGGCAAATCCTACCTATTATGTCATTTACTGATGAGGAGATTTCTGGGTTTACATGGTGAATGATATGAATTTATGTAGTTACCTTGCACTGTACTTGTAGGCAGCAATGTTCAAAGGGCTCACTCTTGCTGGACAATAGATTTCTAGACTGACATGCTGGAGATTAAACATGGGCCTTCTGGTATGTAAACCATATGTTCTATGGCTGACCTACATTTTCTTCCTCAACCTCCCCCAAGAAGATCAAGTATATACTCATGCACTCAGGTGCTGAAGTCCACATGTTGCAGTAAGGATTTTAAAATTATGGTTTGTTAATCAGAAGCATAGGCTATAAGGTGTGAAAGGCTCTTTGGGCATCATCTAGTGCAACTCCAGTGCTGTTTCTATAGAAAAGTTAAATTACAGTGGCCAGTTTATATACAATATCAATACAGTGAATGGATTTGTACATGATGCTAAGCCAATAACAAAAATTCCACACTAGAACTTGTTACCATGTGTGAACCTACCAAGATACTAATGTTATGTGAAATATTATCTAGGAGGAATATAATCTGAGCTAGAGGCCTAGAAATATGTGAAGTCAGCATACAAAAGAGATTAATGCTGAGTGCTTTTTTTCACTAGAGAAAGCAAATCATCTATACACACTAGGAACTCTTTCCTTCTAAAAATTAAAAGCAAGGAATTTATTATAGCATAATCTTGGGATAAATATAACAAAAAGAATAGTCTAAAAATATTGGAACTCTGATGTAATATGCAAAATGTTGAATTTCAAAATGTATTTTTCTTTAAGCCTCCAATAGAACATGCCTTATTTCTGAATTCATTTGGAAGTTCAAGTTCGCAATTGCAATGACAGTAAAATAGAACTGGACAGGTTCCTAAGCCTCATAATGAACTCCCTTTCCTGTACTCCCTTCCCCTAAGCAAACTTTATTAGGAGCAAGGATTTTTGAAGAAAGTATCTCCCTTGCTTCCTTGCACTATCCATGTTAGACAGCAGTGTGCAGCACACTGCTCCCTTGACCAACCCAACCAGTGCCTTGTATGTTTGGAAAGTTAAAGGAAAGGGGCAGTAGCAGCAGCACCAGCAGCACCAGTAACCACCTGAAACTCTGCCTGGGTGAAGGACTTTGGGTTCAGCTTGCAATAGGCTTAGATAACATGAATCTTTCAAAGCTCCTCTACCCCAAATTTCACTAGTTCACATCTGAGTTAGATTATAAAGCTCAATAATTATGACCCCTGATTTTGTTCAGATAGAATCTTCTTTTAACCCTGGATTTATGCAGTGCTGTTCATACTGAAGAGCAAGTCCTGCTTTCTCCTTCAGTATATGTGTCCAGGCCAAAGCTCTGGGTGAGCTGAGGTAAAAAAGAGAGTCTTGGAAGAATCACAGTGCAGATATTTTCTTGTGACAGCAGAACAGTGAAGGCTCTTGAGCAATGGCTGTTTTGTTTTTGTTTTTTTGGTTTTTTTTTTTAAAAATCTCTCACACCCACAACAGAGACAGTTCTGTAAACATGAATGGAGAAGACCTTGGAAGACTGTAATCTCATGAATTCCCACGGTATGTAATGTTGGTGAAGGTGGAAGTAGCCCCTTTGTACAGGGGATTGTTGGCCTAAAAGACAAAACAGAGTGTAAAAATATCGAGAAGAATAATTGTATCTGTTACTTAATAGATACATGGTGATGCATGTATACTTGGCAACTGATTTAACAGTTGCTAAGGCATCCTCATAACTCAAAGTAGGATTCTTTAACAGGTGAGTGGATTTCTGGTGCTCTCAAAAGACATAATTCCAGGATTATTTAAGGAATTGCAATAGGCATATAGGTCTATGGTGAAATTGTATATCTCCTAGGAAGATGTAGAAAAACACATTTCTCCATAGTGTGTGTGTGCGTGTGTGTGTGTGTGTGCTTGCGTGTGTGCGTGCGTGTTTTCATAATCACTTCTGCGCAACCTTTAACCAATAAAGCAAAGGAGAGGGCAGGAAAATGCTGATGCAATGAGATTCAGGCATCAGGTTTTTTTAATTAACAACATACTATTGGGAGAATGCTAATAACACACTCTCAACAACACACATTATAAAACTGATATATATATTGTAATATGGATGATTCAGAGTCAACAATAGGCTGCTATGTCAGAGAAATAAAACAATAACTCATTGCAACCTCCCCTCCTCTTAGGATGAAGCAAAATATTTGCTCTTTCTGTCCCCTCGCACCACTATAATATTTCTTACCGTGTCCCATCTAGCCCTGGCTCGCTCTTCTTCAAATTTGGCAAATTCTCGTCGGTCGTGGATGGTAATAAGCAGTTTCCAGATGAGCAAAGCAGCCAAGCCAATAAGTAAGATGGCTCCAGTTACTGAAAGGAGAACTACCAAGACATCAGGTCCCTTGGGACAATCTGTAGAAAACATCATAAAACAGAACTGCAAAGTTACAAATTACCACTCTGACCATTAAATTCTTAACTTTTGCTGCTGTTGTTGTTAGTTGCGAAGTCATGTCCGACCCATCGTGACCCCATGGACAACATTCCTCCAGGCCTTCCTGTCCTCTACCATCTTCTGGAGTCCATTTAAAAAGACATTTATCCATGCATTTGATCAAGCTGCTGTGCTAAAGGAAATCCTTACTAAGGAGCAGCAATCAAAGATTACTGTTTGATTTAGGAGCATATAACTAGTCAGAAACAACCAGAAGAGTTATTTTGCAAGCATCTTTTTGCAGCACTTGTTCTCTAATTTGTGCCATGAATACCTGACACATAATTGTTATGGTGGAAGGATGGATGTTCTGTAGCAAGAATGAATCATTTATAAAAATTCTTTGTGTTCAGCTTACATGTCAGACTTTCCTTCATGCTAAGTGGCGACTAATAGGAATAATAGCTGCACAATTATCCAGGAGGTAGCCACTATAAGATGTACAATTTAAGTACATTAGTTTTAACATCTTTTTTTTTTTTTTTTTTACAAAATGTTATTCTAGAGCTATCTGCTCTTCAGCCTAAAGGGACCATTATAGAGTAGTTTGACAAAAAAAAGTATATCTTTGATCTGATCCTCAAAACATAGTTGGAGAAAACTTCCAATTTTGATATTAGCAAACTCCTTCTGACAGCAAAGTCAATAAAACAATAGAAAAAAATATGTCCAAGATGACAGCAGCACATACTTCCTGTGAGAATTTAAAGCGAAGTTGGGAAAATCATATACTTTCAATGACCCAGGAAGGTTGCAGGTCCCAACAGTTTGCATCCTGTCAAACAAGTTTTGACAAATCAATTCTTCCATCATTTCATTTCCAGATTTTTTTTCCTAGTTGCTGAAATATCTCCTACTCTCCTAATTACATCATTCTTTTTAATATTCGCTTAAGGATAAGAGAGGGATTAAAGGCCCTAGGCTGTGATAGGAAGCATGGCAGCTTTTATGGTTCCCCATGAGGTATTAGCTGGATTCAAATTGCTGTCCAAGGAGGTCTGGCTAAGCTCCTTCAAAATCTGCCCCGAGACTCCATTGTTGTCAACCTTTTAAGTGCAGTCTGAGTCATCGGCCAAGTTAATACCCTGCGGTGAGGGTATATCATTTATTGCATGCTTCTGGCAACTAATGAGAGCTTTATCACCCTCTTTGGGTTTAGAACACTCTCTTTGAAGGTTTCTAGTGTCCCCTTCATGCTGGCAAGCACAGAGAAAGAAATATTACCTTATTGGGGTTTATGGCACAGTCAGTGTCTGTGGTCCTGTTTGCTCATCTCTCAGCAAGTAGAGACAGGACTCGCATTTAGTCACTTAAGTCAAATATCAAAGCAGACAAATCCAGCAGCCTGCTTAAAGCCATGAATGACAGATGATATTTTTAATGCTGAACTGAAAGTTGCCAGATTGAATCACTGCTCTTTAGTCAGAACTATATTCACTAATATAGTGAACTAAAAAATGTTGCAATAAAAAATACAGAATCCTGCCATCTTTATGAATTATTTAAATCAGACATACTACTTAGGTAAATTTTGTTTAAAACATCCAATAATTCAGATTTTTTTCCAGTATGAGTTCAGGTTGAGGAATGCCATTAACTTACCTTGACGTCCTAGGCTAAGGGGAAATATCTCTTCCAAAAAATTCTAGCAATGATCTTTTTCTGAATTGATTGGCTACAGTTAAGAATGATTGGATCTGTCTCTTCCTAATCCTTTTATTCTGCATATATTAATTCATGAACCATTCCTATATTGCTCTCACATGATTATGTACTTTGCCAAAAATATAATTGAAACATGAAAAGCAAAGTATTTCATCCCGTGTCTCAGAATCTGGGTTTTTCCATAACCATATACTGTTCTCAAATAAGGTACCTCTAAATATGAATGTAAGAAACTCACCTTGTCACTATAATTATGATCATCTCTCATACATTCCAAATTAATATGGAACACCTAGCATTGTTCATCCTGCAAAGAATCAACTGGTCATCCAAAATGAAGACTTATTTTAGTGGCCCTTGACCCTCACCTGGTTCCTCAATAACATAGAGGATAGATTTGCCACTGGAGTCCTCGTAATATTGGAAGTACACTACACAATCATTCTCATCCTTGTATGTACAGTTCACAGCATCTTTCCCCTTGTCTCCTGCACAAGAGGACAAAGGAAAGAACATTTAGTCCCCTGACACTATTCAAGAAATTGTTAGCATTTAGAGATGTCACTAGGGATGTTAAAAAACAGGGTGACTCTAACAAATCTCACCACCTATGTAAAGACTATTTTGCCAGACATGTGCCCATTATCATTGATCCATGTGGCACATCACATTTTGTATCTGCTATTCTCAAAAGAAGCATGAAAATACAGAAGAATTTTTTAAAACCCCTTCTCAAATTGCAGATCTTCAGCCATCATTCACTTCTCCCGAGGCGATGGGCCCATTAGGATGCTTCACCCATAGGCCAATTAAATCCAATGTATTCCTGTGTGCTATTGGAACAGTTGACATGATTGGTACTAACATCAGTTTTGCTACAAAAGATGAAGCTGACTTAATAGGAACAGCCTGTATTTCTTCTTGTGTTCTGCAAAGCTAGGATAGCTTTCTGGTTTTCCAAAATGCAGACTAAAAATGAAAGAAGTTAAGAGTAGATCAAAATTCCCAGGAAATTATATTCATTATATAGTCTACTTTCCAGCGACAATAATCGTGAATGCTTCACCGACATCCTTTCCTTCTTACACAGTAATATTTTCTAATAGCGTTTTCTCAATAATTCTGGCCTTACTCTGGGTAGATAGAGTAAGGCATTATTAAGAAACCTTCAATAAGTGGGCATTGACATATCTGAAGAAAAAAATCGTGCATATCTGCCACAAGCAAAATGTAACATCATTATTTATTTCATCCAAGAATATGTCCAGAACATAAACATTTCACCCTCTGTGGGGTTATTTATTTTATTCTTGGTTGCTACAGCACTGTGGCCTAATTCCTGACTTTTAAAACCTTTCTTGACTAATTACATGTAGCTGAAGGGGACTGATTGACTGCTTCCAGCAGGCAGTTAAAATGCCTGTAAATTTACTTCTTGAAACACCCTCCCTTTATTTTAATCTTTATCAGCTAATGTGTACTGTTTTATTTTTAGTAAACGTCTCAGGCATTTTCTTGTAGACTGGACCATTTATCTGGATCCATTACCAGTTGGTTTCAGGCTGGATTCTAGCATGGAAGTTGCTGGAGTTGTCTTAATGAATAACCTTTTGTTGGAAGATAACAACAAATGTATTTGGATGGGTGCCAGTTCCATGTTCCAGCCTCCTATGCATTGCCCTGGTATTCAGTCATTGGATTGTAGGTGGTTCTGGTTTCTGCTGCTGCTTTTTAATGCCAAGTCAGCCTGCAATAAAGCCTAACCCATTCACAACTTAATCACAGAAGGCAGCCAACTTGATATGTTCTACAAAGATTTGTTTGTTGGACATGGGGAGCCGGAGTTTTCTCTGAAATGTGCCCACCTAGTTTTGGGTATGGCATCAGCCACTGGCACCTTTGAGGGGCAGACCAGACAGGAAACACATAGTCAGATGAGCTAATTATATTTTATTGTAAAGCTATATTAACAGAATCTTGCAAGTCTGAAAGTACATCCCCCCCCCTCCCATGTTCACTGAGAGTGAATTCAACTAAGCATGGAGAAAAGCCTTTATTGATAGCTTCAGGGCAATGGAAACAGTGAAACTTAGTATTTCTTCACCCTTATTGTTTCACATATTACTGGATGGTGACCAACTTATTGCTAGAGAGGGAGGGAGTAGGAAGCACCTGCAAAGCCATGAGGTCTATTCCAGGCATCATTCAGATAAAGTTGTTCTGAGAGTCAGGCAGCCTATTAATCAATCAGATAAATAAATAAATTGGGGAGCCATCTCTCACAGTCAACTTTGCCCATCTCATAAGGCTACATAGGGTTGGCATGCTCTGGTTCCCTCTCTGACCTAGGAGGCATGCCTTCCCTGTTGTGGCATCTGATCTTTGGAATGAGCTTCACCCAGGGTTCTAATAGTAATGGGTCTTTTGGCCTTCGGTAGATCTGTAAAGACCTGGCTCTCCTGTGCATTTGGGCCAGGATGGTAGATGAACCTGTTCTGTTACATGTGTGCATATTTTTACTGTGGGCCTCAATTAGGGGCTTACATTTTTTATTTTGTTGGTTTGGGATAGGTTATCATTGTATTTATTCTCTTTTTAAAAGAAGTATCTTTTGTATGTCACCCAGAGGTCACAAATTATGAGAAAGGCAGTTTTATAAATCTTTTGATTCTTTTTTTTAAATAATAACTCCTGTTGAGTCTGCTCAGTTTTCAGTGATCTCTGGTACTATATATTATGCTATCCTTCTGAATAAGTTCTGGAGGTGGGAATTGATGGAATAATGACTCTTAAACTAGCTATGAAGTCCCAAAATAAAAGACTATAAGATGATTTTAAAAATCCTTATTTCTGATGCAATTTAACATCTCTATGGGGAACTGATGTGACATTACTGTTCTATTTTTCCTTAATTATGAACAAGGAAGAAAGACATGCTGGTGAGAGTTTTCTAATATTAATAAAGGAAACAGTAGTTGCCAACTACTGGAAAATGCCCCTCCTTCATGAAAAAAGACAAACTTCTTCCTTTATTATGTAAAAAAGCAAAGGGAAACAGACCGAGCTCTGCTTAGGTAGTTTGTCTATTTATAGGCGTCTCATTTAAAATAGAGTTCTTGCTTGAATTCTTGTGTTAAAACCTTAATTTTCTATAATGATAAATTCTCTGAGATTCCAGTCCAGATAAAACCGAAGCCTGTTTTATCCAGATAAAACAGAAGCCTCAGAATCTTCTCTGAGATTCCAGTCCAGATAAAACAGAAGCCTGGCACATGCATGGTTTATTGTTTGGGTAGATGGTACTGAATCTGTGTTCAACACTACAGATAGTCCTCAGCATACAACCATAATTGGGATAAAACTTCCATTGTTAAGTGATGTAGTTTTTAAGTGAGTCCTCATGTGACCATGTGACCATGCCTGATTTTACAACTCTATCTTGTCATGGTGATTAAACAAATAATTTGGATGTTAAGCAAATCTGCCTCCCCTCCCTCCATTGACTTTGCTTGTTGGAAGCTAGTTGGGAAGGTCCAAAATAGCAATCGTGTGATCTTGGGACACTGCAACCCCCATAAATACATGCCACTTGCCAAGCACCTGAATTGTGATCATGTTGTCATGGGAACACTGGGTCAGTTGTAAGCCCAAAGACTGATCATAACTCACTTTTTTCAGCATCATTGTAACTTTGAACAGTCACTAATCAAATGACTGTAAGTTGAGCACTACCTGTATCTCAAGCAGGCAATATTCACAGATTAGTCACTTGGCTTTGTAATTGGAGATCTAAATGCTCTCAGTGATAAGAGTGTGTTCCTTTAACTTAGCAAATGAATCATCTGGAAAGTTTCTAAGTCAGAAAAGGGAGGAGGAGGAAGAGGAGTTTAGAGGGAAAAAACAATTCTTGCAAAAAAAAACCCCCACCATAACTCTTACATACCAAGTTCCTGAACCAACTCAATTTCATCCCGGCAATTGCGGTTGCAGGTGTCTTGTTCTATCAGGATTCCTCTCTCAAACTTCTTGCACTCCACACATTCCCTGTGCAAAAGAAAGAGTCATGAGCAAGGAGAACAGGGAGATATAGTGATTATTGCTGCCCTGTCCCATCCCTATAAAACCAGGAATGTGATATTTTCTCTCTAGCCTAGATTTACTCCTCCTCCTCTCACAACTCTGTGATGTCTTACTCTGTTACCTGTTAGTTTCCTGGTTCCATTTTATTTTATTGAGGATGCACTCTTTATTTGAAGGGCGACCCAATCAAACCTGGTTAAAGAACTTTTTGAAAGAACACAAGAAATCTCTGTGTTACATTCCAATAGCATTTGCACAGCATAGCCACATTTTCTCTCTTTCTCAGTATGGTTAGACGTAGTTATAGTACAGTTAAGTTATTACCTCTAAATGTGCACCATATATATAGTTCAAATTGTTATTGTTGTTGTTCCATGATTCCTAGCCTCTTGGTTAGAATTATTGAAAATAATCCAATTTAAAAATTGTGATATCTAATTCAACAGTAATAAAAATATAGAGTAGGGTTCCTGCCACACTTGACTTATTTGCCTCATTTTGGTGTTTTTTTCTGGTGAGGTAGCATCTATTTAGTTTTATCATTGCAAAATCTGGGAGAGAAGCAGTGTATTGAAATGAAGATGGGAAATACAAGTAATAGCCACATAAAGAATGGCTACCAAATTCAAAAAAGAATTACAGCACAGAAAGCTCAGAACCAGATGCTCTGAACCACTCAGAACAAAGGAACTGTTTCATTTAGAATGACAAATGAGTTGCAACTTTTTTATTCTTGAACAGTTTGCACTACTGGACTGGGATGGTGAAGATGCCAAATTTACCATGGTTATCCGAGAGGAATGCCTTGGCTTCCCAACAGAGTGTATTAAAGAATTGTATTAAACTTTTAAATGTCCTGCTCTACTATTGAGGTTGTTTGTTTCCTAAGGAGATTGGCAGATAACTATATACTTTCTTTTACTGAAGCATGAAAACGGTGGAGATGACATATGAAATGGGAAATGATATCTTATCAGGTTGAGTTAAGATATGGGTTATAGTCACCCTCAAGGGAGGAGTAAAAAGAAGCAAAAGAAACAGATGAAAATCCACTCAAAATTCTTTCCCACTTTGAACAGGAACAATAATAAAAAATCTTCATGAGTAGAGGCACTAAAAACTATGCTGACTCTCGTTGCAACTGCAACAAAAGCATTCTAAAAATTTTGTAGCAACAAGAAAAGAAATAAATAAGTGACAACATTCAATGATTATTAAAACTGTGAATCAGCATGCAGGATATGGCTTCCTATCAGTTAAAAAGAGCAGATAATATCCCAATGCAATCCAGTGGAGATCTTGACATAGGGCAGACAGACATGGAACAGGAAATAGAATAGAAAATAATGAGCATTCAGATTCATCCAGAGGGTAAACAGACATAAAAAAAAAAAGAATACATGCCTACAAGTGGCCACAAGATAATGATTCTGATTCAGCAGCCATAATTAAGGGATGGGAAAACCAAGTAAGAATCAGGTGATGTGATCAGACCCCATTTCTCATACAATTTGACTGGTTATGCAGCCAGCTCAAGTCCTATGAAAGGCCAGTAGATATGTAGTAAGGCATTAAGACACTAATTACTTGGAGAACAGATCTGCATGAATGGAGCAATAAAGCCTAACAGACAATCCTAACCAAAATGAGAATGAGCACAAGAGCAGCAGGTTACCAGTGTGCCTACTGCACTGCTGCAGCCACAGGTCCAGCAAACAAGCCAATGTCTGTTTAAATTACAAGTGACACATGTAACATATGGATTTAAACTTTCTGAATTTAAACGTCCAGTCCAGAGATGCACTATGAAGATCTTATACTTACCACCAGGAAAGGTTCTGTATCATACAAGCAGCAACATTACTGAAATAAACTTTGATAATAATTTCATTTATGCAAACATCCCCCACACACACATACTTTGATCAATAAAAGTAACAAAATCATGGACTGATGGAAGAGGGATGGGCTGCCACTGCTCACCTCTTCTCGTCTCCTCCCCCAGCCTCAGGACAGCCCAGCTGCCTACAAGCAGCAGAACCCGGGAAGGGAGAGGGACAAGATTTCTATTTTAGTCTCAGCCACAGAGTGAACAGACAGAATAAACAGATTGTTTAAACAGAATAAACAGAAACCAAAACGCCCGGGAATAAAAGTAAACTAGCCAGAAATAATTACGTAGAAAAAGTGACTGAATAGTAAAGACTCTGATGGAGTAGAAATAGAAAATGGAAAAGATAAAAGATAATTTGAACTCTGTACAGCTTTGTAGAGAGTGACAATAGGGATATGAAGAGTTTAAAACAGAAGAAATACAGATCACTGTATTTTTATTGGAAACCATCCAGAGCTGATTATAAGATGGGCAAGAGGGAGAGGGAGAGGGAGGGAGGGAGGGAGAGAGCGAGAGAGCGAGAGCACTGTTTTCTTCAGACAGTGATCCCTTTAAAAACTAGACAATTTGAACCATGGGACTCAGGTTAATGATGAAATCTTTTATCAACTTTATTTTTTTTTTTAGCAGAAAGCAGCACTTGTTCCTCCATGTGGACAAAGTAATTGTAGACTGTATTATTTCAGGACATTTCCAAAACTTCCTATCTTTCTTTGCTTTCAGCAGAACTTCCTGTTTCCATATGTAGCAAGACAGTGTAAGGATTACCAAACAAAAAACAAAAAAAAAACCCCAAAACCACCAAAAAACCGTTTAACCTATTTAACCTAACATTGCTAGTTCACATTAATTTACTCTAAATTGTGTGTTGAGCCAAAACAGAAAAGCCAAAAAAAAGCAAAAAGCTTTTTGCCAGCTGTAATTATAGTGACCTCACATCATTTTCCCCCTAAAGACTTAACGTTTTTCCTTTATTTTTATCATTTAACTTATACTGTAGAAACCACAATGCACATCCTTTCACACTCAGGTGAAAAATATAGAAATTGAACTGTCTTTTAAAAATATTTACCTATACTGTCTGAGATTAGATACTTTATTAGAATATGCATTTTATATATTTTTTTCTTGGTTTTGCTCCAGAATTTTCCTTTGTAAAGCATAATTATAAAGAAATAGTTTAAAATTTTGATTCTTTGAGATTTGCCCCCTTTTCGTTTTTTTTCCTTTATTTTTTGCCAAGAAAATATAGTCACCATAGCTTGTTATGCATGTGGAAAGAACACAAGAATAATGTACTACCTGCTCAGAATCTTCTTAAGTAAAACAAAAATCTATTAAAAAAATTGCTTCACTGCTAGGAAAGAAATACTATGAAACACAATTTGCACAGAACTTTTTCAGACAGTCAGATAAAATTCCCAGCCCTATTTTAATACCTCACTATAGAAAATCTGAGTTATGGGTGACAAAGACAGTTTCACTGTTATATAGTCGTTTTACAGTGAGATGGGCGGCAAACCATTTCAGTTAATTCTACAAGGAGGAGATACTGAGTTATGAATGTTCCTGGTAGGATTTAGACAACTTACCTGAGTGGCCACTAGTAATGTCATCACAGGCTAGGAATTTGATTAAGATTGTTAAGACTTTGGAAGGCTCCTGAGATATGATCTAACCCGATTTGAGCAGATAAAAAACAATTCAGAAAGTGCACTCCAATTTGTCCTTGCTGTTCACAAATATTGACATTCACAAGCATGGCCAGATTCCTGATGATCTGGAAATAGCAGTCATTGTTTTAAAAAGATCTGAGGGATGACCCTACAGATTTTATTCCCATTGGCCTGTCAAGTACAGGCAGTGAGCTTCAGCCCAGGCACTCATACGTCAAATTTAGGGAGAGGTGTGAACACAATCTTTTAGCAGAACAGGTCAGTTTTAGGGCAAATTGATACACCATTAATCAGCAACTTGTTGTCCAATTTTTGACAAATATTCTACGAGCACCACAATTTCCTTAAATACAGATTTTGGAGACAATGACAGGAATTCATTTTATTTGCTCAGTCACGTTATGGAAAAAGTTAAAATTCTCCACAACTGGTCATCACTTGTTATTATGCATTTAACCTACAGCTCACTATTGCCACATTTAAAGGAAGAAGAAGAGGTACAGAATGAAAGTAGTATTGCATCATCGCAATGCAAAGCCCGTGGGGTTTTTTTTTGCACACATGGTACCTAACTGTGAACATTGCTTTCCTCATTTTGACAAAAGCAGCAAGATCCTACAAAATTCCATGTGTCAATACAGTATATCCTTGAAAATCAGATGCAATCTTCAAAGAGGTTTATCGACTGCCATTATAACGGTTATCCTAAGAAGGTATTTATCTTATTAAATGCTGATATTACTAACGCGTGGATGCGTCAGTGTTCCTGATTCTGAAAAGGATTATTGCTAAAAGATCAGAAAGAAGTTTTCTGTGCTCACTCCAGCAGCACACACACTAAAATAAGAAACAGGCATGTAACACACATCTCATCAGACAATGCAGAATATTTAGGACTTTGCAGCTATAGGACATGTGATCATTTCAATTTCAAGGAATTTTGCTGGCCATGCATTATCACTGCCACTGGATTTATATATCACTGCCACTGGATTTCTCCCTTCCTGAGCTTGAACTGTCAGTGGAGAGAAAAAAAAGTGAAGAGGTTTTGACACTATTGTGCATTCCCTGAGTCTGAAAACCCAAATCATTAGTAATTCTAAATATCCTGAGTTTCAGACCCTGATGTTAGAGAAAAGCAGCATAACAGCTAAGATATAATGCATCTGAAAGCTTGGGACTAGAACTTGAGGACAAACCTGTGCCAAACGTAAGGAAAATCTTTGATTTATGTGTGGCAACCCTTGGGGTCATCTTCTGAGGACTGTAGGCCACATCACAGGCAGCCTCCTTACTGTTCTTTGCTGCTGAGGGGATCAAGATCATTTGGTCAGAAGCCCAAGGTTTGAAAATGTTTTTGAAATTTAGTTCAGAGAGCTAATCTTGAAATTAGGACAAGAGTAGTCAGCTTGTGGGCCTGAATAAAGATCAATTACTTTCCTGAGGAATGCAGGTACCATTTACCTAGGATTATGAATAATTACCCCGAGATTCAGGAGTGGAAGTAGATCCTAAGGTTCAGACCCCCAAGAACTGGTTTCTTTCTCATGAAACCAAATAGGAATTTGGCACTCACTTTTTGATGGTGCAGGCATCAGGGCAGGTTGGGCACTTGTCACAGGTATCTCCGTAAGAGCCAGGCTGAGTACAGACACATTTCCCACAGGCACAGTATCCTCGGCCTTGCCCACTGCACACCAGCCCATTGCTGGACATGCAGGTGTCTGTCCGAGTTGTACAGTTGCAATACGTTCCAGTCCAGTCAGGGTTGCAGGCACAGTCCCCACAGACGCATTTCCCATGTCCTACAGGCAAACAATCGTATGAAAATAGGTCTTTATTTTTAATGCTGTCAATTTTAGCATTAAGGAGCCAGTCCCCTTCTACCTTCTCAGCCTCTCTCCCCAAACACATGGAAAACAAATACAAAGTTAAACAGGATAACATACTTTCTGGAGATCACTGGCTGATTTTAGGGAAGTGGTTCTTATTTTCTGACCTCTTTTTGTCATTCAAATGTTAATAACCAGAAAGTTTTCATACTTTGTATTATTTTATTATAGGCAATTTCTCCCCATTTTCTCCAAAGAACTCAAGGCTTCTTCCAAAGATTGGCTTCAAAGCCTGTAGGGATTCCCTTCAGACATTCCAAGCAGGACCAAACAAGTTTCCCCAGGGATCTGGAGAAAGATTTCTGGTATTTTATCAACTCCTCATCATTTTATGCATATAGTTAGATCTGAGTCATACTGTATGTATATATGCACAATTAATTAAAAATACAAAAAGGCTGAAAAGTCAGATTCTCAAATGTGTAGGGGAGACCTTTTTGCCTCACTTGAGACTCACCAGACCACAAGATATGACTGTCAACTTCTACCCACCAAAACATCTGTAATGGTACAATAAGGTCACTTCTTTTAACAGTTCTGATACCATTCCAGAAAGGTTGAAATATAATTGTTAATTTAATCATTGTAGATAGTGCAGATTGTGTCTCTAGAACAGTGTTTCATAACTTCCTCAGCAAGTTTAAAATGTGCAGACTTCAAATCCCAGAATTCATCACCCAGCACACTGTTCTAGGATAAGGAAAGCTATAGGCAACGAAGTTTCTGCTCTTAATACTTTACTTCAACGTAGCCAAATAACTAGGACTTCTCCTTGCATACACTTTGTTCAGATGTGCACTGACCCTTGAAACTACTGGAGCAGTGAAGTCATTAGAATCTGATGATTATTGCCTTATGAGAGAAAAGCTTAGAGGCCTCAAAAAAGCTGCCATGGAAATAACCAGCGGAAGTATTTTTCTATAGTATTGACCTACCTTCTAATACAAATTCATGAACAGAGGGAGGGAGGGAGAGAAATACAGACAAATAGATTGACAGACAGCAGAGAATGAATGATAATGAAGACTAGTTGATGAGAAATTCCAGTGAATCATGGGGATGATGAGCTGAATGAGGGGCTGGCTGGAACAAAATCTCTAGCAATACCAGGAAAATATATACAATATTAGGAAACAGTTTGTGAATTTGTCACATAGCTAAGAAATAATTACTTGTCTGGAAAAAAACAAGTAATGGCTTCATCAAAGGGTATTGAAGGGGAGGGTTGGAGTAAGTAGAACAACAAAAATAGAAATGGTTCTTGGAACACTTACAGATGTCCGATTAGATTTTGGATCTTCATGCTAAACTCCACATCTCAGAATTAATTTGCAAGCTATCTCATCTCATACATAACATTAATTAAAGTCCCATGTCACAAAGAAATATAATATGGTAGGGAAATCTTTCCAATTCCTTGTTGAGGAACATCTTCATCTGAATGTCAGGTTACTCTTAGAAATATACAGTAACAGCAGGGCCAATAAGGGATATGGCAAAACTATTCAGAATCCACATTCAGTTTTGAGCAGATTCCACTTCCTACTAGTACTGGTGATGTTATCTAGTTTGGTAATGAAATGTTTGCAGGAAAACAAACAAGTCCTGAGAGCATTAAGAACCCCACATTCATTTTTTAAATCATATTTCTATGACAACTAGTGCCCTGTAGCATCTTTCTCAGAGCAAGTTAGAAATGGTTGCACAAAGAGTTCTTGAGAAAAGCAATTACTTTCTTTCCCTTTGTAGTACCAAGTTGAAATCCTGAAATTACTGTGTACAAAACTGTGCCCTCCAATTGCGTCCTGGCTGCTTATTATTAAACAGAAGCAGCCATATCTGTGTTTCTCAAGTGGAAAATTAGGCCAAATGAGAAGATTGCAACCCAGATTAATTCTAACTATCCTGGTGGCCACTGAACAGAACAATTACAATAAGTTTTTAGAAAAAACACAGTGATTAAGTTCTGTGATGAGTACCTGGCCAGCCTGTTTTATCAATGTTTGAGGATCATCCTAACATCCCATATTGCACAATAGTTGTATTTTGTATCACGTACAGAAACTTCCCTGGAATTGAATGAGTTGTTGTTCTAGACACAAGCAAGTACAATTCTTCCACTTCTCATAATCAAATCACAGCAATAGTTTCCTTTAACACTGAGTCACATACACAAGCAGTCATGAGTTCCAAACAGATAGCTGCTTCTAATACTTTTTCCCTCTTTCATGAAAGTGAATTGAGTCCTATCTGGATCACCAAGTTAATGGTTATATTGCACGAAAGTGTTTAACTGTTTTTTTTCCTAAGCAGCAAGTTTTAGCTTGCTTTTAGAGGCATGCAAATACAAATGCTTTTTGCTTACTATACCAAGGTTTTGATTTAATTCTTTCCTAAAGAACAGATTTTTCAGTTCTTGCTCCAACAATTTTAGTAAAGCACAAGCTTGACAAATTATATGTGTTTATAGTTATTCCAACTTGCTCTGGCAAACATAAATAACTTTGCATCTGTATGTTTACAATCCCAATAGTAATTAAATATATGAGTTAACCTTTAGCCAGAAGGAGAATGAATAATCTGTGATATATTTACACTCCTGCACTTACTCACAGCCTAGACAAAAATAGAGAAATAACAAGATAACACCTTCCCTTATTTTTCAAACCACATGTGATTATGCCATAAAACACCTGAAATATACCCCAGAAATGAAGCACTTTAATTCTCCAAATGTTGCTGAATTATCCCTCTCAGGAGTTGTTATGAATTGGTTATATTAGCTGCTGAGGATGCTGTGAGAGATTGCTGTTCCTTAATAAAAATGTGAGTGTCTATGTACTGGAAATGTGTAATATTTTTCCCCTTTATGCTATCTTATCTTTAAAGATAAATTATTATATTTAAAGATTATATTGTTATATTATTATTGTATTTAAACTTTCTAGTTTTTTTTTTAAAGAATGGAGACAGAAAGGGGAGTTGCACTCCTTGGAATAATTGTTCTTCTTTGCAGGTATGTACAGCTCTTAGAAGGCCATCCCACTCCCTCGGGCTGATACCACTCACCTGAGCATAATTCTCCTTTGTAGCGAACACAGGAGAAGTCATCGCATTCACAGTATTTGCCTGATATCCTGCCAAAGTCACTGCTGTAGCAAACACATTGGCCACAGATGCATTCTCCCCGCTGGCTGCAAAGTGGTTGTCCCTGACCCGGGCTGCAATTGTCTTGGTGGGAGGGGCCATATTCTTCCTCAGAGCACTCGCACTGGGAACCCAGCCGGCCTGGGTGGCAACGGCACATCCCACATTCAAAAGTGCCATTCCCATTGTTACAGTTATTGCTGTAAGGTTCAGAGTAATTCTGGCAAACACAGTCACAGTTAAAGTTCAACAGGACAGTCAGGCTGTCTTCAAAGCCCACTGGCTTAATGGTGAAAGAGTTCTGCTGGTTCTTTGGACAACCGCGGACCTTTGCTTCCACACTGAAGCTCACCTGGAAAGAGGTTTAAAAAGAAGAATTGCTCAGGTTAAGGAAATATCCTAAATATGTCGCATTCAGTTTAGAAGCATACACAGAGAAAGAGAGAGAAAAACCAATCAGAATAACGTATAATTGTTTGGTAGAGTTACTGGTTGCAAAATCAGCATGGGGAGAGCTTCCTTGTAATGCCGATGTACCTGCAGCAGGCAATAGAACGTATCAGCTTGGATTAAACTTGCACAGTATTTTAATGAGAGACCACTAAGAAATCCAGGGCTGCAAGCTGTACAGTAAAGTTCAGAAACAACAAAAAACCCTCAAGAAACAATTCCACACAATTGCAAAGAAAACTATATGGATATCTTCACAGGTTTGTCTTTAATTAACCTAGTACTAATAAAAAGGGAGAGAGATATTCATTAATTTCAGGGGGGAAATTTGTAGATGGAAGAAAAATCTTCAACTGTTGTTCATCCTCACAACCCTTCCTCAAATCATTTTCAATTTCTTTTTCATTTTTTTCCCTAAGCTGGTCTCCAAGATCATAAACAAGCTGGGCTGAGACAATGAGGAAACTGGCTTTAGCGAAGGGTTTTGTAGTGGACAGCAAAAAACTAACATAAAAACCCAGTTAAATATTTCTATTCCTATAGTGATTTATTTTATTTTGTAAATTTAGACACCACCCATCTCACTATCCAAGTGACTCTGGGTTGTTTACAAATACAAACCATAAAACCAATTAAAAGTGACATAATTAAAAGCAAAATTAAAGCCAAGTACAGAACAAAATAAAAACAAAGTTTAAAAGGCAATTTAAAAGGTGGAGGGAGCATCCTTAGGCTAGCAACCAACCCCAAATTTCCCTGCTATTTTTTAATCCTTGCATTGATTGACAGAGCCAATTCTGTCTCTTCCAGAATGCCAAAAGAGTAGGGACCAACCTCATTTCTGGGAGCAAGATATTAATTAATTAAATGTATTTACTGTCCATCTCACTATCAAACGATTCTAGGTAGTTTACAATGTGATACAAACATTAAAACGTTGAATATTAAATTTTAAATTAACAAAAATTAGCTAAGGTAGGAACCAGTATACAATGGGGTAGAGATGAATCTTCTTCTTAATCCACTAGCCACCTCCAGTATGGAACACCCTTGTTGGAGGCCCAGGCCAATCAAAAGAGCCGGGTTTTAAGGCCCTTTCAGAAGGCCAAGAGGTGGGGGCAGCAGCAGAGAAGGCTTTTTTCTTAGATGTTGCTGATGGAAATTCTTTAACCAGCACTGTCCATACATGCCTTCCCTGCCTGACTGGGTGAGATGGATTAATGTAATTGGAACAGCACAGTTTCTTAGGTAGTCTAGTTCCATGCCATGAAGGGCTTTAAATTCAATATTTTGAATTGGACCCAGAACCAAACTGGCACCCAATGCAGCACATACAGCAAAGTTATTATATGTACAAGCTTCAGAGTGTGCAAAATTGCTAGTGTGGCCATATTCTGCACCAGCTGCAGCTTCCAGCTACTTTTCAACTATCTGTCCCATATAGAACACCTTCGCAGTAGCCCATGTGGGAAATGACCAAGGTATGAGTGACTAAGAGAAGGGTCTCCTAGCCATGATTGCTACCTGCTCCTTGAGCAGGATTCATGAGTCCAATGGTGAATTCTAAGGGACCCCCAAATTACTCACTGGCTCCATATGTGGCAGCACAACCCCTTCCAAGACCAAAGATGATAAACCATCAGATACAGAGAAGCAGCCCCACATAGCCACTCCATCTTATTGGGATTCAATTGATGCCAATTGTTCCTCATCCAGAACTCCCCCATCCAGACTCCCAGAGTCTCTGGGCATTGCAAAAAACATCCACAGTATCATTTAATTCACCTGAGATGTGGATGTACAACTGATATCATTTGCATAGTGTTGATACTCATCCCATGGTGATGCATGACCTCATCCAGCAACTTCATATAGATGCTAAGCAAGTGCAGAGAGAGCCTTGAGCCCTGTGGCATCCCACAGAGCTAGACCTCTTGTTCACGACCAACTAAGATTGGGACCAGCCACAGAAGAAGGAAATGAACCAGCACAAAACCATGCCCCCACACTTCTAGGTCCCTAAACTGACTCCAAAAGATATCATGACTAATGGTATAAAAACTGCTGAAATGTCAAAAAGAGTAACTATGGACACACGATCCCTATCCTGCTCCTGCCAGAGATAACCCAAAAACATGACCAATGTTTCTGTCCCATATCTGGGCCTGAAATCTGACTGAAAGGGGTCCAGATAGTTCATTTTATTCAGGATTCTCAGCAGCTGCAGATCCTCCACCTATTTTCTTTAAAAAGAGGGAAAGATGAGAGATTGAATGAAAAGTATCTAGTATGATGGTAGGTGACAACTTCTTAAAGAGAGGACACACCACAACTGCTTTAAAAACTACTGGCAACACCCCTCCCTCAAGAATTAATTAACTATCGTTAGAACTCAGCCATATGTCACCTTCCAGGTAACCATGAACCAGCCAGGAGGGGGCATGGATCTAGTTCACGGTCATGTTTACTGCCTTGAGTACCCTGTCCATTTCCTTGGGTCCAACAGGATCAAACTGTTCCCAGGTGACCTGGTAAGTCCACACCACAGGACTGCACCACACTCTATGTCCAAATGGGAACATACTGTTGCATTTATTCCCATTACTCACTTCAATCTATAAAAATTAGGGAATAAATGTGTGCCGGGTAATATGAAATCTTGGCTTTTCTTCTGCTGTAGCTACTTTCTGCTACTGCTATCCTTGTCTAGCATAGTTCAGACAGAGACAATGTACAGAATTTCTGGATTTGCAGAAAATAATTTTCTCTTCAGTATCTGCCCACAGCAACCTTTTCCTCTCACTTTGTGTCCCACAGGTATCCCAAGGCAAAAGCCACATACTGAAGGAGATGCTATTGACACAAGTGAATGTCTTTTTTCTAGCATAATTCAACCTCTCCAACAGGAAGAGATTGGATTCTTAAAGTGTGCATTCACCCTTGGAAGAGGAGACAACATGCCAACGAATTTAAGATTCATATAGCTCATTCAAACAACAAATGCTTATTCATTTTAGCTTTGACCACTACACAGACAAGAGTCTTTGTGGAAATAGATTATTTGGCTGCCCATGCCCAAAATGGCCATGAGGGGCAGTACTAGTGCATAGAAGGCAGCCTAAAGTAGCCAACAGGAGCTAGACAGATCACAGTTGGACATTGGCACATCACCAACCTCATTGTCAATGAAACACCCTACATTCTCTCTCCAATAACAATTGTGTCAGGAGAAGAGAGAAACTGCTTTAAAGCTAAAGTAGCTACATATTACTTTAAGCCGCCTTGAGTGTAAAGGAGAGAAGACAAAGGCACGAAAAAACATTGAAAGTATGTTTTAAATTGCCCAGATTCGAGGTCTATTTTATATACAACTTTTCCAGAAATAAATATATTGTGTGTCTAATTGTGCTCCTCTCAAATCTCTGAATTTAAAAAGTTGCCTTGTGTGTCTTCTTGCGAAACTTCAGAAATGTCAAAGTATTATTGGTTCTTTACAAACAGGTTGTTCATAAAGAAAGAAGGAAACAGGTTTATTGTAATTGTTGTAATAAAAAAGTACTGTCCTATAATTGAGGTCTTTTTGACCCACGATTCCTTGGCACTTATCTCTATTTTTTGCTTCTTCCTTGTGTGTATTTTGTGTGACTGCAAGAGATGAAATGGTGTTTCTTGTTATAGCTGTACATTATAGTGACACATTTGCTGCCTAGTCATTTGGATGCAGATACTAAAAAACACGAATTTTATGTTGGTTTTTTGTTACAATGCAGAGAGCAACTTTTCTGACCAGAAAATCTACATATCCATTGCAGGAATTTATGTTTCCAAATGTAATTAAAATTAATTGAGGGTCATAGCTGGGCATTTCAAAATAATGATGGCCCCTTTTTCAAGAAGACATTTGCTAAAATAGGACTGATATCAAGTGGTAATTTTCAGATTGGTGACTCAGGAAATAGAGACAAAAACCCAACTTGATAATGGAAAGATGTATATTCTATTCAGGAAAAGTTCCTTTAAAAATACCTTGGAGCAAAGCTTTTAATAAATGTTTCTCAGAGCTGTTGTGGGGTTAATATTTAACCCTATAGCATGTACTGCTGTACTGGTACAGTATAGCATGTTTGCTGTACTGACATTCCTTTTAAAAGTGCTGGGAAACCATCATCTTAATTGTAGCTTTAATTGCAACTCTCTATGATTACTTTTGCCTTAATATGGGGCCCCCATAACTCACTGTATCGCCGATCTTGAGTCCAACACAAGACTTAACTCCAGGAATGACTTCATTATTCAGGCAGGTGGCATTAAATGAGAGGGACAATTCCTCTGGGAGATTACGGACTTCTAATTCAACTTTGGAACGGATTTTCTGAGGAAGGACAGGAAGAAAAAGAAAATCAGCCTCCATCCAGTTGTGGAGTGGCATCTCATCTAAAAACCCAACTAATCTTCCCAATTTAAATTTGTCAGGCTCCAACTCACTTTAAAATAATAATAATAATAATAATAATAATAATAATAATAATAATAATAATAATAATAATAATAATAATAATAATAGTTCAGTATCTCCTTCAATCTACCTAAATTAGTTAGAGTTGATGTAGATCAGTTGGGAAGAGTGGTTCAGTTGAGCTTGAATCTAAGAAAAAATTAATAGCATTCCACAGCAGGAAAAGCTAATGGGAAAAGCAATTAAATATGGATGGGAGTTTCTAAAATAAGGCAATAACAATTCCAGTGAGAAAAATATTGGGGACAGTAGAAAAAGCCTGGTATGGTAAAGAATGGAAAACAAGAGGGGCATCTAAGTGGCCCAGAACTATAGACATGGACTTGAGGAGATTAAAGTTCAGCAGGATATTGGCAAAGGATGCTAAGAATAACAAAAAGAGTTTCTTCGATATACTCAGTAAAGAATGCAAAATGCTAACAAATAGCAAATAGCAAAATGCTAACAAATAGCAAATAGCAAAATGCTAACAAATAGCAAAGAAAAGGCAGAACTACTCAATTACTATTTTGGTTCAGTGAAAAACATCTTGGAATAGAAGTTGTTTATAAACTGAATATGTGTCAGCAATGTAATGTTGCTGCAAAAAAAAAAAAGGCAACTGCAATTTAAGGCTGCATTAACAGAAGGAGTATTTCCAAATCACAGGAGACAATAGCTTTCCCTTAACCTATGACAACCAAACCCTTAATACAGTGTTCCATTCTGAGTAGATGGAGCGGGATTGAGACCAGGAGGGATGAATAGGTAGCATATGGGGCAAGGAAAGCCAAATGACATGTGTATCATGTTATAATGCCAATGACATGACACCTGCTAGCAGTCAGAGGGAATAACATGATCGACAGAATCACATTATTGTTTCCTTTGCTCAGTGATGTCATGATGCACATGTTATCATTTTGTGGTCATTATGGCTTAGAGCAGAGCCTTATGATTTAGACAAACTAGAACGGATTCAGTGAAAAGCACTGAGGGATGGTCAGGGGTCTAAGTCTCATGAAAAGAGATGGAAGTAAATGGGGATATATGACCTTGAGAAGAGAAGGCTGAAGATATATATGATACCGTTCTTCAAAAGCCTTAAAGGATTTCAAAGAAGAATCTGTTGAAAAGTCTGCTCAGAGCATAGAACAATGAATAATAGATTTATATTACTGGGGATGCAGATTATATCTGAATGTAAGGAAAATCTTTCTATCAATAAAAATATTTCAGCATGGAACCAATTATGCTCTTCACTGAATATGTTGAAATAGACTGCTAGTTATCTGCTCAGGATGCTTTGAATTCCTGTACTAAGTAGGGATTGGATTCATTACCTAAATGGCTCCTTCCAGTTCTATGTTCTTATGAAATCAAGGATCAGATTGCTCAGCCATAAAGTTCCTAATGTAACTTTCTGTAAGTATCTGTCAGCTGACCACTAGGGATAGGAATCTTAACTATTAAAAGAAACAGTTCAGTGATTCAGTCGGTGTAAAACAAACAAACAAAAAAATGGTTTTTTGATTAAAGCATTAGCTCAAACTCAGGAAACTGTGAGTTCTAGTCCTGCCATAGGCACAAAGCCAGCTGGATGATCTTGTACCGGTCACATTCTTTCTCTCAACCTAGGAAAAAAGCAATGGCAACCCACTTCTGAAATCTTGCCAAGAAAACTGCATAGGCATGCCAGCCAGTTGCCAGGAGTCCAAAGGAACTCAAAGACACTCTCCAAAGCAGGAGATGGATTCAATGCTAATAGAAAAGATAAGAAATATAAAAGACAACTTTGCTTTGAAAGTTTTAATGTGAAACTAGGGTTTTATGCTAACTGCATCTATATATTTAGATGCCTATATAAATGAATAGCCATGAGACCTGCTGCTATACTCAAAAGAAGGCAATGCCAGAAGTTTTGTTGAAGGGCCAAAGCCCTTAATAAGACTTCATTATCCACAGTAGATATATTGGTAACATAATTTTGTTTTAGCAAATAAATTTAAGAAGGCCACAATTCAGGAACAGAAGAAGAGAACGCATGGGGGACAATGCAAAAGAAAAGAAAAGAAAAGTCCCAAGTGCAACAAGTGCAGTGATTTATCAATTATTTTATCTGGTTTTTCTTTTTTAAAAAATGACTAAATTCCAAATAAAATTACTAGAGTTTTTCAGAAATCAACCCCTTATTTGCACCTCCATTCATCCTCTAAATTAGAAGGCTCTATGTTGTATCTTTGGTACATGACAAATGTTAGTCAAGCAGTGGGCTGAGAAGTACAAGCTATTGCTTTAAATTCCTAGTTATGGCTAAGAACATGTCAAAAAGGTCAAAAAATTCAAGATGTTATCTGTGAGCATGTGATCAAAGTTGCCATTCTTTTTCATTGTATATCACAATTATAATATTAAATAAGCAGGCTTTCAATTACATAGTTATGCTCCTTCCCCATAGGCATTTTTTAACCACCCCCATCCCCACCAGTTTGATATTTTGGTATCTACAGAAGTTACCTTTTGCCAGACAAATCCTCACAATAACCCAGTGAAACTTTTAGACATTCCTATTCATGGACTCACCCCATAGGAATCCAAAATGAGCTGTAGAACATTGCTTGAGTCCCTTGACAAGGTCCCTACAGTAGTGCCTGGGAGCAGCTCACTGTAGTTCTGAAAAGAAAACAGCACAGATTTCCCTTAAATGGACAAATACAAGCTAAGAAAATTGGGATACAGTTTTTCTATGTCAGACTGATTTTTTTAAAAAAAGTTTTAAAAGGGAGCCAGCACTACTCTCTTCCTATCTCTGGTAGAGTTCTTTGACTTCTTTTTCTAATAAAGAACAGCAAAAAAGGAAACAGCAACCCAACATCTAGACAAACTTTTTCTTGTTTCGACTTTCCAGTCCCACAATATTCCCTAAACATAATGTGGATCAATGTGTCTTCTTACCTGGTAGAGACCAACTATGTTCTGAGTCACTGCAAAAATCAAGTTAATGTTTTTCTGTGAGAGTTTGTCTGTCAACAGACCAAGGGATGGGTAATCCTTGGGAAGAAAAACCAAGAGAGGCAAATGAATAATCTGCTTGCCTATCATTGCACAGAAAAAAAATCATAGCTTATAATTGATTGAACATAAAAATATGCCACTTATTAGTTATTTTATGTACTGTACCTAATTAAAACATTGGTATCTCACCTTCTTTCCAAATCTTCAAGACATTTACAGTAAACCTACCATCATGCTAAAGATATTCCCATAAATGTTATCTATGAAAAAGCCAGATCTCGAGACCTCTTTCCAATCTACAGTCGCCTTTTACAGTATTATAAGCACATCAGAGAATCTAGGATGGTCCTACGGGAATTAAGGGATTGCAGAGCAAAGTAATGTGGAAGAATTATTAGGAACAGAACGTACTGTAAATAAGACTACATTCCAGCATAGTTTTTAGGCACACCACCTTTACTTTCTTCCAAATTAGTGTAAAAATGCAATTTATTCCAAATGGGAAATTACTGCTCTTGAGAACATTGTTAAAGTTAAGGCAAAGCCTGCTTTTTTCATGGGACAATGAATGATCTGGTCTCAGTTACAGAGTACCTACACTGAGGGTGCAGTACACAATATACACTCCAGAAAAAAGCTTCAGACTGTAATATTGTTCAGAATTTGCTGAGAACCTAGGGCAGTATCTCACTATCATTAGAGAATCTAGGGGGTTTTGGTACTGTCTGATCTTGATTGTTTTCTTGTAGACATTTAATTACCCAGATTATGTAACATCATCAGTGATAGTAAGGAGTGGGGTTTGCTCTCAGTTTATATTCTATTCTAATGACTTTTGCTCTGGCAGAGCAAGCCACTAGAATATAAACTGAGAGCAAACCCCATTCTTTACCAGCATTGATTACGTTACCTAGTTTGGGTAATGAAACAAAGGAAACAAACAAACCGAGATAGCACCAAGAACCCCTCATTTCAAACCCAAGCTATAAATATTCTCCTTTATCGGTACAGAGAATCTCAGAAGGCCAAAAGCAGTGGGAAGAGTCTGGGATTTACATGTCCTTTTCTTTCAAATTACAAAGCCCCACTGACTACCTAAACACTCTGCATTCTCATGCCATCCTTCTTTTCATCTTCCTCTCCTTCATTAATGCATTAATGTCCTTCTGAAAGCCCAAAACACCCTAAGCCAAATTTTCTTTATCATCACTGGGAGAAAAAAAAGCTAAAGGAGCAAGTACTTTGGGTAGCTAATGAAGGAGGAACAACAATACCTTTACTCAGTAAGAAAATATTTATTTATTTATTTATTTATTTATTTATTTATTTATTTATTTATTTATTTAATATGCTGCCTCACTCATCAATAAGATGACTCTATCTGAAAGTTCAGATAGTTCAGCTGAAAGTTATTTCAAAATGGCAAAAGCCCCATTGTTTAATACGACTAAGCACATTTGCCAAACATGGAGTCACATTATTGTTCCTAGTGCTAGTGATTAGTATACAGAAAGCCTCATTGACTGAAAATTCCAGCATTTGTAATCTAGCTTATCTGGAGGACACCAGGCTAGGGAAGGCTAAACTAACTTTTAACTTAGATAACATAGAGAAAGTAAACCTAAGGTCATGGAATTTTAGCCATGTGTATCATCAGCTATAATGGAACAATTTTTGTACTATATTAATCCTATTCCTGTGGCTACGACATGAAATACCCTCACCAGTGTGGTAGAAGCTTCATAATAGTTATTGCTGTTCATGTGGCACTTCCCATCATTGGGTATCACAATTCCAGCCAGTCTCCCATCTAAAGCAATATGTGTCTTGGCATCTGTAGTGAAGACCAACAAGTGGGAGGCATCAGGTCTCCAGCCAATTTTATCCTGTAAGAAAATAGTCTCCATTATATGTTCAAAACAAAATCAAAACTCCATAAAGAAGAAGTCCACAAAGATATTCACAGCACCAATCAGAGGAAATTACTTAACTCTTTAAGGCTGAAATATAAATGGTGGAAAAGAAGTGGTGTACAGGTAATCCTCGAGTTACAACTACAATTGAGCCCAAAATTTATGTTGCTAAGTGAAACATGTGTTAAGTGAGTTTTGCCCCATTTTTTTTACTTTTCTTTCCAAATTGTTAAGTGGATCATTGCATTAGTTAAGTTAGTAACTTGGTTGTTAAGTGAATTTGGATCCCCATTGACTTTGCTTGTCAGAAGGGTGCAAAAGCTATCCCGTGACCCCAGGACACTGCAACCATCATAAATATGAACCAGCTGCCAAGCATCTGAATTTTGATCATGTGACCATGGGGATCTGCAATGGTTTAAGTGTGAAAAATGGTTATAAATCACTTTTTTCAGTGCCGTTGTAACTTTGAACGCTCATGAAATGAACTGTTGTTACGTCGAGGACTACCTGTATGGGGCTGACTCATGCCTTTTAAAAAAAAATATTTTTATTATTAAATTCAATAGTAAAAATCAGTAAGAGTCATATATAATAAAACAAAATGTAAAAAGTCACAATGCAAAATAGCAACATATATATATATATATATATATATATATATATATATATATATATATATATATATATATATATATATATATATATATTTCTTTTTGCTGACAAAGAGTTAAAGATTTAAGTGGGAGACTAGTATAGCTATTTCAGACTCATTTTGTCCTCATCAGCTAGCCACACCCTTTATGGGATTCGAACCAGGGCAGTCTGCATGCTAGGCAGTTGTGATACATTACAAATCTGAATTTGTAATGTATCACAGTTGCGATTTGAGCCTGCTTAATGCCCCTAGTTGGGGGGCTGCAAGGCAAAAGAGATTATAAAAAAAGTAGAACTACAGTATAGCAGTCAAAATGCAAAGGTGCAATCAATCAGACTGGTCTGTCTGAATCATCCAACAGGTCACCCACTCCCATACTCAATAACTGAGAGAAAAAAATCTCCAAGTGTTTAAAGGCAGGCCGGCCAATTGATTCTTGGGTTAGGGGATGTTCCTTCTATCCCTTTAATAACTATATATGACAACCGAAGTATGGTTGATTTCTGAAAACATAAATTTGATCGATGTTTAGGAGACAAAATATCTCAGGCCCCCAAAGAGAAATCCAGCCCATACATCTTTGCCCACTTAATTAGCACCAGAGTAATGTTGAGAAATAGATTTTTCTCCTAAGATACTCTTAAATTTCTAAAAATCTGTCAAACAATAACAAATTTATAACAATAATAATAACAAGATTATGCTGAATCCCCCATAATAGAGATGGCCTCTTACATCACAGACAACTGCTTGGATAATGGCATCAAATCCTCCTTCAGGTGCATCTCGATTCTTAGACACACTTTGCTTCTTCACCTCCTCATTGAAACGCTTGACCTCATCTGTGAGAGCTAGGACATGCTTGTAGCCAAACATTGGCAGGCAGTGATCATTTGGTGGTTTCAAGCTAAATGATAGCATATTAAGCTTAGAAAAGGTAACAGGAAACTAAAAATCCAAGGAAGTCCACAGAATTTAGCACAGCTATTGGCCTCAAGTTACACACCCTCTCAGCTAAACAACCCAATCAATTAAAGGTTCTTTAACCCAATTCTTCCCCTCTGTCACAATAGTTTCCAAAAGCATATGGAAGTTTGGCAGTGCTCTCATTAGATACATTAGCTGTTTAGTGCCATTAGAGTTAAGAATAAATAGTTGAAACTGCTAAGGAGAAACCCAGCTACTACTCATTCCTGGAGTTACTTAGCCTATATAACACCACTACTTTGTGAGCCAATGTGGTTCCAGACATAATTGGTGGTTTTAGGGGTGGGGATTGGGGGAGGGGAGTGTGTTTGGGGATTATGTGTGTGGGACTTGGTTTTTGGGTGTCAAGTAAATTTCGTTGTATATGTATACTATGTACGCACATACAATGACATTAATCAATCAATCAATCAATCAATCAATCAATCAATCAATTAATTAATTATTAAAGGTACTGGATGACACCTTTACAGCCCTTCAAGGTTTGAGACTGGGTTACTTGAGTGATCACTTCACCCTGGTTTTTTCTATCTGCCTGATGCAGTTTGGCAGGATGGGCATGCTTTGGATCCCATTGGCTAAAGACTGTTGGTTGGCAGGGTCCAGAAGGTGTCCCTTTGTGTTATGGTGCCCACCCTATGAAACCTTATCCCACTGGAGACAAGAAGGCCCCAATCCTCGTGGCTTTTCATAAGGCTCTGAAGACCTGGTTCCATGTCTGGATCTAGATCCCCAAGTGTGTGAAGGAATCTATCTCCTATTAATGCTATATGCTATGATGTTTTCCTTTGCTGCTATGCCTTTTTAAATTTTGTATTTGTGGTTGTAAATGTTTTATTTTTATTTGTTAAGATGGGCAGCTATACAAATGAATAAAATGAAATAAACCTCATGAAATTCCCTAAATTTTTTACATGATATTAAGAAAGAAATATATCATTCTGTCTGCACATATTTAAGATGAAGAGGGAACAGGAATACACATTTAGCAATCTTTAGAATTACAGTTTATAAATTTTAGCATTAGAGATAGGGGATCTGAGGTGTTTGAGATGCTTCTAGGCTGCCACACCCTTCATCTCTGATTTTTGGCCAAGTTGACCCAAGATGATGGGAGCTAAACTCAGTTGCAACTGGGGAACTCAGGTTTGTTTAACAAAGATTGAATCATCAGTATTTCTTCTGACTAGAGAACTTACTCATAGCATGGGTTTTCAATGGCCTCTGGAGGAGAAATGTACATGTAAGGGGACAAGGGTTTGTCCACAAAAGCTCCAAAGCCAATCCTCAGGTTGCTGGTCACTTTGCGCATTTTCATGGCTAGATTGGTACCTAAGTTCTGGATATTGTGGAGGTCATCCTTCATGGAGTTAGACAAATCCATTAGATAGTAGATGTCCACGGGATAATCTTCCACCTGGCGCACTTGTATTGAGAAAATTTGGGAGTCATCTGAAACAGCAAAAATAGATAAGGGCTGAAAGACTAAAGATGAGGGATGTTTTTCCAAAGATTTCAACTTAGTCTACTCTTTCCAAATGTTTGATTTACTAAAGCCACATTGTCACAGGCTTCGGTTATTATAAACGAACCCAAATATGCACCATTCGTTTTCCCATGACTGATATTTCTGGCCATATGGGATCAATATTTCAGATCAGATCAATTTGATGACCAAGCACAAACATATCTGTAGACATCTCTCTTTTTTGTCACTGCCAGACTTCTAGCTTTAGCCAATATCTTTTCTTTCTCTTTATATTTTAATAAAAATCAATGTAGTAAGTTGACATGAAATAGTGCAAACTCACATTATTTCTCATTACAACCATATACTCCAGATTTTTATTTGCATATTGGCTTACAATATTCAAATACATAATTACAAATAATTAAAAAAGACATATAACAAGGCAAGGCAGCAATAATGGTTCCAAATACAAGTTAGGTCTCATAGGCATCCCTGGGAAATAAAAGTAATGGGTGGCTGCTAGCAAATGCTTTGCCAAGAAATATGTCCACATTCTTAACAACAACAACAACAACAGCAACCTTGTTTAAGTCTGCTTTTTGGCCTTGAAAGACAAAGAGCAGTAGGCCTTTCTAGTAAATGAAGGTTTAAAGATTGGACATACCCAGTATAGTAGCCATTTTGTAAATAGCAGCTGCAATTTGTCCTCAGATTCCCAGTATGCCCATAAGATCTCAAAAGTTGACTACCATTGCTGGAAGGTAATATGTCCATCCTGAATAAATAGCTAATTGTCAAGTCAATGAAGCTATCATAGGACAATTCTGAAACTATCAAGCTATCATCATATTGTCTATGAGACCATGTTTGCAGCATTATCAATCAAGTGAAGCAATCCTTCAAACTCTTAGTAGATGCTTTCTTCTCTATTTCTTACTATTTCTCTAGAGATGGTGAGGAATTAATGCAAGGCTTTCTGTGGGTAAATCAAGTAGTGTATCTGGTTTTACCTGGACGCAGGTGGAGCTCAATCTTCTGTGGAGTCATTTGGGTGATGTCACTCCCTGATCCTTTGGCACTGAGAGGTCTGGCCTCCCGTATGAAGGTCCTGCTGATTGGATACTCTATAAAATCTTTTGTGCAACCATTCTGAAGGATATTTTCCATTAAGTCACAGCGAGAGAAAGCATTTGGCATCTCCTGTTGGAGGTTGAACTGAAAGAACAATAAGATTTTGGAACTGAGAAGTTCTCAAAGTCCAATCTAATGATGTTGATGCTAAATATATTTTTTTAAAATAATATTTGACCACAATCTGCTGCTTAGTAAGCTAGAAAAAGGTGGGATAGACAACAACACCAGATGGATTTGTAGCTGGCTGACAAACCATACTCAGTGAGTAGTCCTCAATGGTACTACATCCACATGGAGATAAGTAAGCAGTGGGGTACCACAAAGCTCCATCTTAGGCCCACTACTCTTCAATATCTTTATTAATGACTTAGAAGGGGAACTCATCAAATTTGCAGATGACGCTAAACTGGCAGGAATAGCCAACACCCCAGAAGACAAGCTCAGGATCCAAAAAGATCTTGACAAACTTGAACAATGGGCCCTATCCAACAAAATGAGTTTTAATGTGGAGAAAAGCAAAGTTTTACATTTAGGTAGGAAAAAAATCAAAGATACAAGTACAGATTAGGCGAGACCTGGATCAGAAACAGTAACTGTGATAGGACTTTGGAGTCCTAGTGGACGATCACTTGACTATGAGCCAGCAGTTTGCAGCAGCAGCCAAAAATGCTAATACAATCCTGGGTTGTATATAGAGGCATAGAATCAAGATCATATGAAGTACTGCTTTATAAAACCCTAGCAAGACTACACTTGGAATACTGCAACCAATTTTGGTCACCATACTATAAAAAAGAGACCTTTGAAAAAGTTCAGAGAAGAGCAACTAAAATGATCAAAGGCTGGGAGACTAAAACTTATGAAGAATGGCTGCAGGAATCAGGTTTGGTTAGTCTAAAGAAAAGAAGAAATAGGGGAGACATGTTGGCAGTATTCAAGTATTTAAGGGGTATTCAAGAAGAGGGCATCAAACTATTCTCCAAAGCACCACAGGGCAGGACAAGAAACAATGGTTGGAAACTGACCAAAGAGAGAAGCAACCTGGAATTAAGGAAAAATTTCCTAACAGTGAGGACAATTAACCAATGGAACAGCTTGCCTCCGGAAATCGTGGGCGCTCCATCACTGGAGATTTTTAAGAAGAGACTAGATAGTCACTTGTCTGAAATGATATAGGTTCTCCTGCTTGAGCAGGGGCTGGACTAGAAGACCTCCAAGGTCCCTTCCAGCTCTATTCTATTCTATTCTATTCTATTCTATTCTATTCTATTCTATTCTATTCTATTCTATTCTATTCTATTCTATTCTATTCTACCCTACCCTACCCTACCCTACTCCACTCTACTCTATTCTATAACAAATGATGTTCTGCAAACTATACTCTCACATAATATGCATTTAATTTCAGATTATGGCTCTGCCATGGAAAATTTAGGTTGCTTGTACCGAAGGCATGCTTTTCCCTCTATAACAGTGGTCCCAACCTTTCCAGCTCTGCAGACCAGCAATGGCAGCAGCAGAAGGGGGGGGGGAGGATGTGCTTTGCACCCGTGCCTGCTGTTGCACAAATGGAGCTTCACACACTTGTGTGCTCGCCTGCCGATTGCATGGACTGGTTCCCAATGAACCGCGCCCCACTAGCTGATTGCAGACTGGGGTGTTGGATTGCCCTGCTCTATAAGCCATCTGCAGATAAACCCAGAAAAACAACTGGAAAGCCTAATTTTCAGAGTTGATTATCATCCTTTCTTTGCTTAATTACTAACTTTGGTATTTGTATACTATAATTTTGTAATAAAAAGTAAAAATATAGAGCAAGTATTTTTTAAACATTAACAAGTATGCATTTATTGTAAAAGAAAACCACAAATAATTCAAATGAATAAACCATTTCTAGGAAAATTATGACGGAAGCAAATAACTGTTTCAATTTTTCTGAAGTAAGATAAATGATAGTATTTAAGGCACATGAGATAAATAATTTTTAGATTAAATATAAAAAGAGCTATATTCCTTAGCGTATAAGATCTGCCGTAGGTCTTTTCTGCCACAATCAGTGAGGCAGGCCAATCCCATTGGAAAAAGATGGTTCCTCAGATATCCTGGACTCAGGCTATGGAGGGCTTTAAATTCAACACTTTGAATTGGATCTGGAAACTGACTGGCAAGTCAACACCAACTTGATAGCATATAATGAATTAATCCTTTGAAAACAGATATTATATACAGGATAATCTAAGACTTAGTGATCAGTAGACAAGAGAGAGAGGGGGGGATAAATAGACAGACAGACAGATAGATAAGCAAACAGACACACAAAATGAATGAATGAATGAAACCTAAAGAGGGGCAAGATTTAACTTCAACAAGAAACTAAAAACCAATATCACTATTGAATAGTGATTATAAGTTATTTATAATGTCTTAAGCAGATTGTAAATAATTCTGAAGAATTTATTAAAGAAGATCAATGTATATTTTACAGTTTAAAAATAATGCCAGAAAGATGATGGACATTATAGAACACTTGGAACAGCATAATAAAAAACAAGTTGAATTATTTTTTTAAATGCAAAGAAAGGTTTTGACAATTTAAATTGACTTTTTTATTTAAAGTTTTGGAAGAAGTGGATTTGGAGAGAATTTTATAAAATGGGTAAAATCAACATACCTCACAGAAAGAACAAATAATTTTTGTTAATAGAGATCTAACAAAACCTTGTGAGAGACAAAACAGAACTACACAAGGTTGTCCATTATTTCCGTTTTTGGAAGTTTTAAATGGAAATATAAGGTACAATGAAAGCGCATAGGAAAATAGATGTAAAAAGTTTTAAAAATACAAGTTGAGAGCTTTTACAGATGATTTAATGCTGGTTTTGGAAAATACTTTAAAGGGATTGAATTATTAATGAGAAAATTAAAAGAATTTGTTGCTTTAGGTGCTTTTAAAATTAATAAACAGAAGATGGTAACAAACATATGAAGAGGTAAGATTTAGCTGAATTGATGAACAATACATGTTTTAAGATTGAGAAAAATGTAAAATATTTGGGTATTAATTTGACAAATATAAATTATATGTTGTTACAAAATAATTATGTTAAAATATGAAATGAAGTTTAAAAAGTTACATTAAGAAAGGAAAAATTAGAATTGTCGCTATTGGGAAGAATTTCTGTGATTAAGATGAATATTCTACCTAGAATGTTGTTGTTTTTTAGACCATACCTGTTTTGACAATTAATGTATCATTTAAATAATGGCAGAAAGAAAGAAAAATTGCATAAAGGTAAAAAGAGTGAATTAAATCTAAGGTGTTACAAGATGCTAATGAAAAAGGAAATTTGGCTATATCTAATTTGAAATTATATTTTGCAGTTTGTTGATTAATTTATATGAGAGATTAATTTATATGAGAGATGCTGAGAAATAGAAAATTATTGGGAGTTAGAAGGAGATGATTTGAGGTTTGGGTGGCAAAATTATTTGTGGTATGTTAATGTAGTTTTTAAAGATCACTTTGTTAGAATGCTATATTGAGAAAATGGAATAGATATAAATCCAGAAAGTAGTTTTCATTACAGGAAGCATATTCTAGAAAAGAAATGATAATTAAATATAAATATTATTTTATAATAACATAGTAATATTTTCATAGGGAGAGGTCAAAATAAAATCAGAAGATCTGACCATAAGAGGGATATGCATGTTAATATTTTTCTTAGGTACTATTATTAGAAAGGTTTAAAGAAGATAAAAAGAAGTTTTGATTTTGAATAGTGTAAGAATTAATCTGAAACTGAATTATCTATAAATGATGAATATGTTATTGCTAAGTGAATGCTGTTCTAATTTTCAAAGGATTATTTTCTGTACTAGACATTCAACCCCAATAGTTTACACTGGAAAGAAAACCAGCTTAATTTCAATCTTAATTAAGAGAATTTCTCTAATTAAGGATAACATTTGGAATAGAAATTTAGAGGGAGACTTGGGAATACTCTTATTGCAATAATTATATTCATTTGTGCATCGGATTCTAAAACAGCTTCTCACAAGCTGATAAGGAGTGCGGCAGCTCACGTGATAGGCCACTGGGTTGGAGATTAGGAGACCCACGTTTGAGACCCAAGTGCTGTTGCATGGTGGGTGAGCTCCTGTCACTCGGCTTCGGCTCCTTGATGGGGACATGAAAGGAGCCACCATGGGCATCCCCTAGGCAATGGTGATGTCACCAGCTAATCTTTTCAACCCAGAAGTGCATACAACCTGATAAGATAATCCTTGACTTATGATTGCAATTAGAACAATAATTTCAGTCAAAAGTCATGACTGTTGTAAATCAAGGCATCCATGTGACTGGACCCAATTTTACGACTGTTTTTATATGTTCACTAAGTGAATCATATAATCGTTAAGTCCAAATCCATTCTCCTGAATGGGTGTTTTTTGTCAGAAACTGGCAAAAAAACTCACAATGTATGTTCATATGACCATATGACCATATGATGCTGCAACCAGTCATAAATGTGAGCTGGTTACCAAGTGTCTAAAATACGGTCATGTGACTATAGGGGGGGATGGAATGACATTTTACAATGGCCAAAAATGCTTTATGGGCTGAAAAGCACCCTTTTCCAAGGTCATTGTAATTCCAAACAGTTGAATAATCAGATGTAAGTCAAGGACTACCTATATCTTCCAGATGTGTTCACTACTTTATCCGTTTTGGAATAAAGAATATTTGTAAGAGGTATTTCCAACGATCATTAATATTGAGTTCATGAGCACAGATTCTTTTGGAATGATTTGAAATTCTTCTTTCCAGTTTTCTTACCACAACACGAATGGAAAAGCCGATATTAGAAAATAATTCACATATTAATTTAATTAAAATCAATTTGATTTTATTAAAAATAGCCATTTCTGCAGGCATAAAATCATAAAAAAGTGAAACAGAATTGGCTGAAATGTATTCAAATACAAAATTCTATCTGCATCCCCATATGTGTCTCTGTGCTCTAGTTATAAAGCATGTTGTAACTTCTCTCCCCCCCCTTTTTTTTTTTTGGCAGGCT